AAGATACCTGCCTGAGAGGCACGTCGGTGGTGGTAGGGTGTAGGACCCCACGTAGCTGGCAGTTCCAACGTATACGCTAAAATTCAGTGTGACTGTAAACATCCCATATTATTCACCGTTCCCATTGGTTGAAATTTCCCTGCCTTCCTGACTAAGGCTAGAGTTCCCAGCGGCGGTTTATTCGAAGCCCCTTATTTTTGAAAATTGTTTTTTTTATTTTTTAACTATTGCGCTCACCTTCTTTGCCGAACGAAATCGTGCGATAAGACTTTCGGCAGAAATTTATTTACTTTCTGTGTTTTTTGCATCCCTCCTGCTCTCCGTCCTGCGAGTTGCCTCATCCGTAAAACCCTCTTTATCACCATTCAACGTATGACACGGTCCACAGACTACCTAAAGTTAGTTGGGGTCCTAAATCCTGCCATTGCCGGCACGTCAAACCCGTCGTCTTAGGCGTGTTTCGTCCGATCCCGTTGGCCCCCTCTGGGCGTGTTTCCCAAATATGCGTGACTTCCATTATGCCAGTCTGCCAGGAGGAGCAGTTTTGTGGGCTTTCGTCTTTTGCGTGCAGGCGGGACATTGCAGGGCAGGCAACATCTCTTATTCTAGATTTGCGAAAATTCCCATAGCAGTAATCAGAAGACGAGGTGGCGAGCATACGTAGCTTTCGATAAATTCTCGTCGGGCCAGTACAATTATATGGGAAGGGGGTAGAGGTACACGCACGTCAATGATAAGATAAATCGATTAAAGTTTGCCTTCAAACACAGACTGGGTGTGGGAATGTGGGAAGGGGGGGGGGTAATAGCAGTCAGTGTCAGGGGCGGGGTGAGAGCGGAAGGGTGCGGGTGAGTTGTAGCGTTAGTCGACCTTCGACCACTGTAGGCGCGGTGCCTGAACGTGGTTCTTCTGTGCGCACAAAATTGGTTTTCGAAACCTGATGGCGACCGCCTCTGCTGTTGCTAACAGGTGCTGTCCCCGTTGTTTAGGGTAGTTCGATGGGACCTTATAGATCACATGAAACGCTTCATTGGGGTCTACCTGATGTCTGGAGTCGACAACATGCACGAGAATGGCGCTGCTTATGCTCCTAGTTTCGCCTTTTCCCAGCCATGCGGGAGGCGTTCCCGTATTCTCTTGGATAAGCGCCGACTCGTGCGACCAATATGACCTGCTCCACAGGAGCAAGTGAAGGAATAGATGCACATTTATTTGGTCTGGGTTGGCAACTTATCCTTACCTTCTCGGCGTAAAATAGGGTTAGTAGAGAAGGATACTTGAACCCTTGCCGCTGGGAAGGTTCGCGAAACAGCTTGATCAAGGCGTCTCTTTAGGAGTTCACTCGCAGCGTCCCCTTGAAAAGTGACTTTGAGGAACAGAGTTTTCTTTTCGTCCGTCGGTGTGGCAGGTTTTACCGGTTGTTCGGCCATATTCTTTGCGATAAACCTGTCCGGGTACCCATTTTCACGAAGGAAGTCCTGGATTTTTCTAAGTTTAGAGTTGGGGTTAGGATTAGGGTTAGAGTGAAATCAGAAGTTAGGCGGAAAACGTCGTACATGGGATAATATCCACTTGGCTCTGATATTCAGTTAGATCTGGGCGAATCTGTGACAGTCCGCGCCTCCTTACTCACCGCCGCTTTGTTGCGCTGCCCTCCTATCCGCCTCACACTCCCTGTTGATCCGTTACCGGCACGCGCGAGGCTTGTCCTTCGCGAGTACTCGAGGCCAATCAACGCTGCCCCTTCCCCGATTGGCTGGCGGCCAATGAGACAGAACGAAAGGCACACACACGCTCGGGGGGCGAAGAACCTCAACGGCGGACACAGACAACACAACTTGGCCTGGAGAGACCGCTCGTGGTGACCGCCTTCAGGGCCTTTGTGTACACATTTCCTCAACAGTAAAATTCGTCCTACCCAATCCGTCTTCCTTGGCTCCGCATTTGGGAACCTACGTCTTGTCGACCATACCAGCCCGATAAATCGGCCGCACTGTGCGGCAAGAAGTCCGCGATCTAACACGGTTTTCTTTCTCGTCGTTCTAGGGGATGATTCTGCGTCCAAATATCGGTGCGGAACCTCTCGCGTGCTTGCCTCAAGTACCCTTCTGGCAAAAATAACTCCCTTTGTCAACCCATGGATTCGGGAGAATGTCCTCGCTGCTTACTCCCTACTCGTGGAAGTGATTGTCACTAGCTTGACCGTCGAAGATTACAGTCTCAACTACTGCCAAGCAGCAATGAATAGCGCGGGAATTAGTTAGTAGTGAAGCAAGACTGTGTTCAAACGACCGGATGTGGGTGCGGGAACAGTAACTGTCAGAGCCGAACAGTTCGTCTACGCGTGCCACGCACGACCTTTTTCCCACTACATGTTTCGTGCTACAGTAAGGCCGGCTTGAATCTAGCCTCAGTGGGAGGGCCCTAAAGGTCACATTAAGAAGGAGTCATTGTAACCCGACTCCCAATCCTGAGAGGGACAAAGTTACCCTGGCAATTGGTCACCGTGTAGCAGCCGCTCCAGTCCCCCTTTCTCCGGCTCCGTGTTGTCGGTCGATGGTCGCGACGATCGTTGACAGGCCGTTGACACACGGACACCCCCGCCGGCTAGAACTGGGGCACCTCCTGTCAAGCTGCAGTGACTCCCGGCTGCCCTCACAAACTTTCATCACCTCAGGCGCGTCGGGCAACCTGGCTTGATATCCGTGAGCCCCTGTGAGTATGCATCCCCCCCCCCCTATTCCTCCCCTAATCTGTCCAACCACATGACCAACACTCAGCCAGTCATCCCCTCCTGCTGACACAGACATTCACTCCCGCGTGGACAACACACCGCGACTGACGCTCACCGGGAGCAGACGCTTGGCTCTGTTACAAGCAAACAGGCAATTCACGGCAACCTATCCTGTGTACAGAATAAACCTGTTCTCACAGCTCCCTTACTTCTGACATAAGAGGGAACGAAATTATTGACCACAACTGCCCAGATTACAATTCTTATTTCGTTGGCGTCAGACTGATTATAATGAGGAGTGTGTTGATGGGCCGAGGAGATGGGTTCCCCCAGAGTCATCCCTCTTCCATATACTAGCCAACCTTCTGCGCCCGTCAGTCAACTGGCGATGGGCTAGAGAGCAGTGACTGACGAGACTGGGCACCGGACAACACAGTCACCGGTACTGCCCGGGTTGCTCTGAATTCCAAGTCTGGTGCTCTTATAGGTCTTTGCATAACGAGGGAATTGGATTATTTGACGCAGACCAGGGAGGCTGCTATAACAATGCAAATTTCAATAACGGGCTTTGTATACCTGCTATTTGAGGTCGTTTTTTGCCTTACAATCAAATCAGGTCAATGAGGAGTAATCGTATAGGACTGGATATATTCAATTTAACAACGAATAGAGTATGGATCAGTGGCTGAACTGTCAGAATGTCCACTTAAAGAATTACGATAGGTTGAGTTCGCATCACGGGTCTTCCTCGTCTGTAAGCGGGACAGACATGGTGAATGACAATAAATTAACCACAAATGACCATTTAAATATCCCATGTCTTCGTAGATAATACTACCCCATAATATGGCCATTTTCACGTCTAGCGGAACCGCCATCTCCAACTCAGGAACGGTGTCTACGCTGAATGTAAGGTCAGCAAATGTAAGCATGACGGTTTAACAGCCGTTGCCCGCGATTTTCACCGTGTGCTCCACAGCAGGGTGAGAGCAGGGACGGTGAGTTGGGCGTGAATCACTTTGTAGTGGTAGTAGACTTGCACGGCGCCTGCTGCACTCCCTCCCTCCCCCCCCCCTCCGTTGGACCCGGTGTCGGGACCAAACCAAGGAGACCGGAGGCGGGAGAAGGCGCAGGTGGCTGGCACGACGAATACCTGCACATAGGCGTACCACCACACCCCTTGGTCCACAACTGATGGTGATCCTAAGGAGTGGGAGAGCCAAAATGGTCAAATTAATAAGGAGCCATTGCTGCCTGACTGTTAGACCACCAGTCGGTCGTTTCACACAAACACAAAACACTGGGCCGGCTGCGAGGTCCAAGATATCCCGTCAGTTGGCAAACTTCTAAGCCACGGCTTTTAGCACACCGTGATAGCTTCAAGCGCGTCAGATAGCTAATAATGAGGGAAATGCGCTGAGTCGTCGCCCTCACTTCCCCTTCCCATTTAAAGGCCCCAGTCACTGTCCGAGCGGGTCAGTTGACAGGTGCAGGGAATGGGCGCGGTGGCTGACATAGTCTAGTGACCCTGTCTGCGCGCTCCACTCACACGACCTGACTCCCAAACACAAGCATTAGGGTTTCACGCAACGGAGGTTGGGTGACGTATATCTCACATGCGTGAAAGTGCCGTAGGTCGCGTTGTGAAGGAGCCGTTTCAGCCGGGCTCTCGGCCCACCAGTCCGCCACTCCACACAAGCACACACACACACAACTGGACAGACTGCGTGGACTGAGTTGGGACGTCAGTCGGCAGCCTTCTAAGTCACGGTACTTGACGCGCGTGACAGTCTCGGGCGCGGATCACGCATGCAGCAGAAGAGCCACATGGAGACGGAGTCGAGACGCACACTTCTCACTTGCGTTGGAGGTGGCAGCTGGATGCTTGTGGTGGATGATGCTATTGATGCAGGTGTTAATGGAGGAAGATTTTATGGTGTGGTTTAGCCGGCGGTCGTCTACTGCGGGTTTTCGTGAATGCGCATGTGGCCCAACACGCCTATACAGTGAATAAATGCGCGGATGAAGTGAGGACGTGGTGCGTGCATGTGAGCGCCCCAGGCTCTGGTTCGCCAGTCGCTGTGTGATGGATTCGCAAGTGACCGACCAGGCCGATGTGTGAGGTGAATGTGCGGTCACAATGAAGAGAGGTATGGACCGCGCCCACATCGTTGGCGTTGACGGTGGGGAGGTTGGCGTTTTTGGTGCGTCAGTATTGTGTTCGGTGATGATGAGTTCAGGGGCCAAATCAGCGGATATTGGGGCAATGAAGGAGGAGGAGGCCGCTGCAACGCAGTTGCAGTTGTCTCAGCATGGTGTAAGTGCTGAGGATTTTCGTTCGCTTCATTACATTCGTGTCGGGGATCCAGTCCTGTCACTTCGGGCTCAGTATTCGCCGAAGACAGCTGGGGGGGGGGGGAGTGATCGAGTCTTCGCGCCTACTTCGTGTAGACCGCCCAGGTCTCTACTCCATACAGCGGCGTCGGCAGGGTGACTGCCTCGTACATCTGCAAGTTGTTGCTGAGATGGGGATCGTGACGGTTCCAGACGGTGTTCTGCAGACGGCCGAAGGCTTGGCTGGCCTCGTTAATCTGGCGGGCCACTTCGTCGTCGATTTTGGTGTTACAAGAGAGGACGTTGCTCGGGTAGGTGCAGTTGTCCACGACTTACAGTTGGGCGCCATCCATGTTGATTTGGGGTGCGACGTAGGCAGCGTCGTGGGGCGGTTGATGCATGGCCGCCGTATTCTCCGTGTTGATGACCAGGCCGAATTTGTCGCAGGCGGCAGCGAAGAGATGCGTACCACTTAGCATGTCCCCTCCAGAGATGACGATGAGGGCGCAATTGCAGACGAAAAAAGTTCATGGACGATAGTCGTGCATACGCGCGACAGCACACTACTTCGGACTTCTAGTCATACTCCACGTGATCGTACCCGCCTAAGCCTTGAGGTGCTTATGCTTGTTGCTATGTCTAATCACTGATCGGTTTTACGACATTAGGGCTCTTGTGTTCACCTGTTAACGACCCGATGACGTGTTGATTTTCGCCGGGATTATTCTTGGCCTCGTTGTGCCTACAGTTGAGATGGAGGCGTAGACGCTGATAATGGTACGGAATTTAGTTCCGCGGAGGGGCGGGCACGCGGCATGAAACGGTCATTAATGTCTTACAACAAACCACGATGTCGTTTCGGATGAACAAACTGACGCCAGCATCTCATTGCTCTGAATTTTGGCGGCCACTCCAGAGTACCGTGTCGTCGACACGCACATCTGTCAGTCTGCCCTGTCCGGTGAGCCGGGTATGTCTGTGAGCGTTGATGACCAACTTGTAGAGGGCCAGTTCTCGAGTGACCTTCGTTGTTCTCCTTTTTGCCGGTTGTTCATATACTTATATAAAAGGGAAGGATCCTTTTAGACTGCCAGATTTACTTTAGCATTCTATGGGATAAGACGGGGGAGTGGGAACGATGACTTTTACTTTATTGCTCACCATCGCGTCTCGACGCGAACTGGCCAGCTTGTAGATTGCGTAATTATCCATCATTTCTTTAGGACACTTCTTCTAGCCCTTCCCCCCGCCGAGGCAGTAAGGAGTGCTGCCCCTAAATAAAACTGCTTAGGCATCCAAGGCGTCTGCCAACCTCTCTGGTTGGTCATGAGGACGATGGGTCATAGGCGGACTACCTGAGTTGGCATACACCTCATGCGGGATTGTACGTCGCCCCTTCTATGGAACTTTTTAAACTGCCAAGAGGAGGAGTAAATGGGAATGAAGAGGGGAATGGGATTACCGGATGTGGATGAAACACCGGTAATCCTCATCTGGTTTACTTCGCCCGCTGAAGCGATTAGTTGGCGTGGTCGCTAGGCGGAGCCTAGCTCTGGGAAGTCACATGCGATATCCGGATATTAGTTAACTGCCGTGAGGAGCAGCCATCCCCAGTACGTGACACATGGAGCGATGTGCCATCTCCTGATTGAACATTCCTATATTTTATTGTATACGTGCACGTACGTACACACATTCATGGGCTCTGTCCTTATCATTAGCCCTGGGTGGACAGTACATTGTGGCAAATGTGTGGGGTGAACCTAGACCAGATGAAAAGTGCGTCTTTCAAATTTCGTCAGGGTCACGCTTGCATGATTTCCCTCTGGCGACCGGGGTGATCTATTTATGCCTCACTGAGACAGTTTTCCTGTCCAAATTTATGAAACGCTTCGTGTTGTCACCAAAGCCAAAGGGCGTTGTTGGACCAACTTTTTAAGTTAAACTCGCAAAATAGAGACTGTTTAACCTAAGATTTGGAGATTTTCTCATATTTACAAATATGATGGACCAGATTTACAAACTTAGTGGCAGTCAAATTGCCAAGCTCCACGTTTGCAATTACCCTGCGGTCTTCGCCTTTGTTTGAAAATCGTCCCGACCGTGATTACGTATGTTTATGGTAAGTTCACTCCGCTAAAGTGACTTGCCCCTTTTTATCTGTAGGAGTGTTATGTATATGGGACTTAACTATTGCAAACGAGCATCGCTGCGCCTCTTCAGCCTTACAGAAGTCGGTAATGAAGAACACAAGGCTGTCTCTGAGAGAAACGTATCCGCAGCACAGATTTCCATTATTTATAGTAACATTTACACACCGCTTTTAAAGTTTGGCCAAACCCTGGTGACATTAATTTAAGTCCTTCTGTAATTTAGTATATTTCCTGAACTGGTTAACTGTTCAGTCGAGACTTGCGGCAATTCATTCTGTCTCGTTAATTCAACCCTTCCGACTGCTTCTCTTCTGGTGTATGCAAGCCTGGCTGACTGTCTTACTCACAGGCTTCGCAAAAGCGTAAATGAATCGCGTTTTACGCTCCCGAAGTTTGCAGATGGGCATTTATTATGATAGGGAATTTCGAATGTGCATGGTGAACAGAAATGTCAGTTTCATTAAGACGGCTAGCCAATGCATCAAACACGACGTGGGCTCCCATCGTCATTACACCGAATCCAAACATTTTTTTCCGAGAATATGTCTGTTCGTAAAGCATATTTTAAAATGTTTCTCAGTAAATACAAAGAAAAATATAAGCACGAAACAAAACATGTTTGGTCTTGAAGGCGTAGATAAGTGGTTCATATCATTTTCAGAAATCCAGGAAACCAGTCAGTTCCCCTGTAATAGCGGGCTTTTTAATAGGAAGGCGGGGAAATTGAAAGGCAGCAACGTGCTGAATCATCTCCTTTTCATTTGCAGACGAGGACGCTGAGAAGGGTACCTCCGTCAACATCTTGCCACCAGAAGAACGGAACTGAACCTCTCCGAACTGCCTCCTCAACCTAAGTGACCTTTCCCTTTTTTTTATTCCATTTCATACACATCGTTGTCTTTGCCGCTCTTCCCTCCCCCACTTCTTTTCTCGAACGTGGAATATATCTTCTCATTTAACCAACGACTTCTGGCCGTGTCCTGTTTGTGTGAATTCCACTACTGGAATTATGAGCTTCATACCGGAAGACCCTAACTCGGTCACGGACGACGAACCATTATTAGGGGCGACCCCCGGTCCAACGGCAACAGCAACCGTGCAGCCTTCTGGATCTACTAAGGGTGAGTGCCCCTCGGCTACAACAGTGGTGGCAGCCGAACGACCGCAACCGCCCAAGTCCAACAGTGACATTCCACAATACAACGGCAAAGAAGCTTTCACAACTTGGCTCCGTAGAACTAGATTTTACCTTGAAGACTTTCCACGAGCCCAACAACCACGCATGCTGCTCAAGGCCTTGGCACCAACTCAGCTGGATAAAGCCCTGGACGCAGGGCTCCATGCAGGCCTACCATTTGAGAATTTGTGCCAACAACTGGCGAATATCTATGGACAGACAGGTTCTGTCGGAGACGCGATCGAACAACTTCATAGTCGCCGCCTCAAGACAAACGAGACTCCCAACCAACTTGTAGAAGAATTGGACCGCCTCGCCTCAGTCGCCTTCCCCACCCTGGCCGCCGCGGATAAAGAAACTGTCGTCCTCCATTATTTTATTAAAGCTTTACCCTTGACAGACCTTTCCAGGTCTCTGCTGTTGCAACCGCCAGGAGACATACATGAAGCAATCAAACGCGCGGAGCGCTATATACACTTGAATGAGACGGAGAGTCACGCCAGTACCGTCACGCAACGCCCAGACGCAAGCCGCTGGAATAGAACAGAACCCACAGCAACCAGGAACAACTACTCACCTTCAAGACAATACCCCGGCCGCGGCAGATACCTCTATAATCAACGCGGTAATCTTTTCCGGCGACAGAGAGGGCAACCGACAGGTTACGGTCAAACCTGCACGCGCAACAAAACGGGTACGCTGAACATTACCGCGTGTAGTGATTTACATGCAAATAGCTTGCCTTTTTACATTAACATATCAGTTGCAAACCGTGCAGTGAGAGCCCTAATAGATACGGGCGCTACGGCATCCTTAGTTAATAAAAAGGTGGTACCCCACGACGCGTTGATGAGTAGAAGACATAGATGTCCACATATTCACCTAACTGCCGCTGATGGGGCTGATATGAGGCATCTCGGTTCCGTAGTGCTGGATGTCAAACTCCCACATGCCAAAGTCCATCATACGTTCATAATGGCTCCCGATCTAACTTGGGACGTACTCCTAGGAGTGGACTTCTTAGCGCACCATGGCTGCCGTATCGATGTGCTAAAACGAACGATACAATTTCAAGCGTTGGAAGAAAAGGCCCCGGCTGCGCCGGAAACCTTCGACGAAGAAGCCATTTGTGCGGCCATACAGAAGGAAGTCCAATTACCACCTGCATCGATTGATGATATCATATTCCAATCCGCGGGAACGGGCCCTGACAAATGGCACCTAAAAAATCTGCTCCTTGAATTCCAAGACGTTTTTGCATGGGATGAATACTCGCTCGGGCGAACTAATCTCATCCGCCACGCTATAGAGACAGGCACAGCAAAACCAATTTGGCAACCACCAAGGCGCATACCAGCCCGTTTCCAGAAAGAAGTCCTTGAATTGCTAGATAGTATGCTCGCCACGGGTGTGATACGTCCGTCACGCTCACCATGGGCGTCACCGGTAACGCTAGTTCCAAAAAAAAAGACGGCAAGCTTCGCTTTTGTATAGACTATAGACGTCTTAACGCTGTCACCACGCGCGATTCGTTCCCGTTACCGCGCATCGAAGGCACCCTGGACGCCTTGGCAGGGGCTAAGTGGTTCTCCACGCTGGACCTCAAGTCAGGTTACTGGCAAGTAGAGGTAGAACCGGCAGACAGACACAAGACGGCGTTCATTTTGCCGCAAGGCCTGTTTGAGTTTGAGACAATGCCGTTCGGCCTGTGCAACGCCGCCGCCACATTTCAGCGGCTTATGCAAGTGGTGTTAGCCCATCTATACCCACAGCAATGCCTAATATATCTGGACGACGTAATTGTGTTCGGCAGGACACCCAGCCAACACAACGAGAATTTACGGGCCGTCCTCGAGGCTTTAAAAGAGGCCGGGTTAAGATTGAACCCTCAAAAGTGCCAGTTCCTCCGTACTGCCGTAAACTATTTAGGCCACGAGGTCAGTGCTCAAGGCATCTGTGTGCCTTCGAAAAAAGCAGAAACCATTCGTTCCTGGCCGGTACCCAATACGCCTACCGAAGTAAGAGGATTTATCGGGTTAGCCTCGTATTACCGGCGTTTTATAGCAGATTTTGCCGGCATAGCCCGACCACTACATAGACTCACCGAAAAAGGACGGAAGTTCCTGTGGACCAGTGAGTGTCAGACTGCGTTTGACGACCTCAAAGCCCGACTTGCTACAGCACCCATACTCAAGCTTCCTAACCTAAACGATGCTGCGCCACCGTTCATACTCGACACTGACGCCAGCGCGTTCGCGATTGGCGCAGTACTGTCCCAAACGGATGACAAAGGACAGGAAAACCCAATTTGCTTTGCCAGTAAAACCCTATCGAAGCCACAAAGGAATTACTGTACATACAGACGAGAGTTATTGGCCATAATCACGTTTATCAAGCAGTTCCGCCCCTATCTACTAGGTAAACCCTTTGTGATGCGTTCTGATCATAAAGCCCTTCAGTGGCTACAAAATACCAAGGACGCAGAGGGACAATTAGCCAGGTGGCAAGAAATTTTACAAGAGTATAACTTTACCTGCGTATATCGTCCCGGCAAGCAGCATGCCAACGCAGACGCCCTCTCGCGACGCCCCATACTTTCAGATACCGCAGAACCCTGCTTGAGGCCGGCTGAAGTTAACGCCGTTTACGCCAGTGAACCAACCCGATACCATTGGGCTATAGCACAGAGCACGGATCCAGACACGGCAGTAATATATGACCACGTACTACATGGGAGCCACCGACCTACTGACACTGAGCTATGCGGTTCATCAGAATCAGCTTATGTACTTCGTAATCAATGGCCTCAGCTGTTCATAGATAATGATATCTTATGCCTTAGAGACACCACAACAAATACAATACGAGTAGTAGTGCCCGGAAGCCTCGTCCAAACCGTACTCTCTGACCTCCACACCGAGTTGGGGCATGTAGGACAGAATAAAACTGAGGCAGCAGCACGACAACGGTTTTGGTGGCCGCACCTACGAGAACAGGTGGCCACCTTTTGCAATACATGCACTACTTGCGCTTCTTTCAAATCACCGCAACAACAAAGCCGTGCCCCCCTCCAACCAATGCGCACGAGCTTTCCTTTCCAACGACTTGGACTCGACATAGTAGGCCCGCTGCCATTTACCACGTCCGGCCACAGATTTATACTAGTGATGGTCGATTATTTTACTAAATGGGCGGAAGCGGTACCACTGTTACGACAAGATGCCGCATCAGTGACAACGGCGATCTTCAACGAATGGGTATGCCGTTTCAGAGCACCGTGGTCTATCCACTCGGACTGCGAAGCTAACTTCGACAGCAAACTACTCCAAGACGTGTGTAACTTACTTGATGTGTATAAAACCCGCACAACACCTGCCCATCCTGAAGGAAACGGTCAGGTTGAAAGGACTAACAGGACCTTGATTCAGCTATTACGGGCTTTTGCCGAACAGAACCACCCACACGACTGGGACGAAAAGCTGCCGTGTGTCATGATGGCATACCGTACCGCGGTACACGCCTCTACAGGCTACGCTCCTTTTTTCATGTTAACAGGACGTTATTTGCGCCTCCCAGTTGACTCACGCTCTCCTTTACCAATCCCCAGCAGCCATACACCAGACGAGTACGTGCGGAAACTACCTGAGTTGATACGTTGCACCCACAATCTAGCACGAGAACATCTGGGAGCAGCCGCGGAACGACAGAAGAGCTATTTTGATAGACAGGTACATGGGACCCCGTACCAATTAGGCGATCTCGTGTGGCGCTACCGGCCGGTGCCACCATGGGGAACATCTGCAAAATTCTTCCACCCCTGGGAAGGACCATACGTAGTGGTCGATGTACACCATCCCACTACATACGTACTAAGGGACGCAGTGACTCCAGATGGACCTACATTTACAACGCACTTCGATAAATTGAAACCGTTCCGAGGACGATTACCGACAGCCAACGACGATACGCTACCCATACTCCCAGCGCACCTAGTACCCCCACCGTCTAGAGAGGAAACCATCGAGCCAACAACATCCAGAAGCCCTGCGGACAGGGCTCCTTCTCGGGAGGGGAGTATGTAATAGCGGGCTTTTTAATAGGAAGGCGGGGAAATTGAAAGGCAGCAACGTGCTGAATCATCTCCTTTTCATTTGCAGACGAGGACGCTGAGAAGGGTACCTCCGTCAACATCTTGCCACCAGAAGAACGGAACTGAACCTCTCCGAACTGCCTCCTCAACCTAAGTGACCTTTCCCTTTTTTTTATTCCATTTCATACACATCGTTGTCTTTGCCGCTCTTCCCTCCCCCACTTCTTTTCTCGAACGTGGAATATATCTTCTCATTTAACCAACGACTTCTGGCCGTGTCCTGTTTGTGTGAATTCCACTACTGGAATTATGAGCTTCATACCGGAAGACCCTAACTCGGTCACGGACGACGAACCATTATTAGGGGCGA